CCTTACTATAAGCCGCACCGACAAATTTCTTGAAAACCAAAAAACAACTGGAAACATACATACATAAGCCGCATCGGGCGATAAGCCACTGGTATCTTCGCCGCTCTCGGTTTTCACAAGAACGCAGCGGAGAGCTGTGTCCTTAATAAACCTGCTGGATTTATTAAGGACGCAGCTCCTCTGTATCCAACACCAAACCATGGATTCGTTCACGCCGAGCTTACGTGCAGCGGCTCAATTTCCTTCCTGTGCTGCCAGATCGATAGCTCTCAACTTAAAAGCGGCATTTTTCTCTTTGTGTGGTTTCCATGATGAGGGGCTTTGAGTTTGAAGAAATTTCTCCATTGTGCCTGCTGCTAGCATGTGCTTGTTCTAAATTAAAATCAGCACTTTCTTCTTTGATTTCCAATTTTGACTTCCAATGATTCACTTCCTGCTAAAGAGCCCCCTGGTGGTTGAAGAAAAATCCACAGAAAAGCCGCACCGGGATACAACCCGCATGATTCAAAGTGTAGGAAAAATGTAGCGGCTTATAGTCCGAAAAATACAGTATTTTATTTTATAATTTACAATAATTAAAACTGAAAACATAAAATACAGTGGGACATGCTGCATAGTGGACCGTATATGTCTACACTTCCACGATTTTCAAATTTGTCACTATTTTCTCTGCAGAACCTCATCTGTGCAGTTATAAGTGTTATTAGCTGAGGCTGTCACTGCTTTCAGTCTGCCTTCTCTGCTGGTACCAGGCCTGCCAGGATCATTTCTATACTTAGAAAAGCACAGAAACACTCAATCTCTGATGCTGCAACACAAATGATACCCTGATGCAAAATCCAGAAGTGTTCTCCACACTTAGCAAACTCAGAGGCTACTGAGGGGTTGAAGCAGATTATGCAAATTACAACAGTCAGCAGCTTCAAACAACGTAGTTAAACGTGACAAACTGAACAACTGTATATATTTAACCAATTCATAACAAACAAGATATTCAGGGGCTACTAAGAAAGAGCTCAATATTATTTTATATATAAGGTTTTAGAATCATTAAGTTCAACAATGCAATGATCTACTGCAGATGTCCTAAGTGCATCCTAGGGGCCATTTGAGGGGCCCTCTGAGTGATTTTCTGCAGCTCCCAGCCAAGCCTCTAAAACAAAGCTAATTTGGCCCTATTCTGTCTGTCAGGATGGCATTTTGACTAAATCATAGTAAACCTCATTTATTAACTAGGTTTTTACATTCAACTTAATTTCAAAGTGCTCCAGGAGAAAAATGAACCCACCTAGAACCTAGACAAAAAATTCTATTGCCCCACTCTCTTACAGAAGAAGAAAAATAAAATAAAATCCATCCAGAAAAATTATGTTTTTTGTTTTGGATCGACTACAGATTGCTCCCCACAAAAATCTGACTTTTTGTCTGTGCTGAGGAATGTTTGGATGTTAAGTATATCACTGAGCAAAGAAAAATGAAAAAGGCACAAGAAATTAATTTTTTTAAATTTCATTGAGAAATACATTTTTGTGCCACCCCTGGAGCTTGATGATTTAGGCTTTCATGGCAAACAGTTTAGACACTACTGATCCACTGTAGGCTTTGTTTTGTAGGATATGCTTTATTTTGAAAGTCCAGCATAGTTGTATTTTCAGGTGTGGTTAAAATCTTTTAGCAACATGTAATCTACTTGGTGGGCGACTGTGGCTCTGTGTGTAGTCATGTTGATTGGAAGGTTGTAGGTTTGAGTTCAGTGCCTCCTGTCAACATGTGACAGGAGGCACTGAACTCCAAGTCCTCTACCAATTTGTGTATACGTGTATAAATGTGTGTGCTTGAGTGCGAATGGGTGAATGTGACTCTAGTGCAAAACGCTTTGAGTCAAAATGATTGGAAAAGCGCTATGCTAATATTATAGTTTATTCCAGGGGTCCCCAAACCTTTTCCTGTGAGGGCCACATAACTTTTCCCTTCTCTGCTGGGGGGCCTGAGTCAGTTTGTAACAGGAAAAGTGTGACGATTGCAGGAGTTCCTAAATGTAAAAATGTATTGTTTTCCAGAAAGCACAATCAAATAACCCTCTCTGGGTTCTTCACAGAAAAAATCCAGAAAATTGTCATGTTGGGGTCTAACTTTCTAACCCACATGCAGACCAACTCCAGAGACCGAGAATGATTTATTACAACAAAAATGGCGAAGAAACACAGGTAAACGATCCGGGTGCGTTTGGACTGGAACTCAGGTCAACTATAAGAGAAACAGACGGTAAGTTCGAGGTCGAGGGAAATTGGAGATGGTGCTGGTGGCGAGCTTACCTCCAATCGGGAGGAAAAAGGACTGGGGGGAAATCCTGTGGAATCCGGAGTTTGTTTGAGGTTCGGAGGATTGCGGGCTGCGGCGGCGTTGGAGGACGGACAGGTAAGTCTGGGAGCTTGAACCATTTCTGCTCGGAGGGAGACTGCCGATCTGTAGGTCCAGACGATCTTTGGCAGAATCTGCTTTCTCCAGTATGTCACAGGACAACCAGCTGTAAAAAGTCAGAGACACAAGAGGGTCAGAATTCTGGAAGAGACCAGGAAGAATTGACCTGAGGTAAGCCTGTACCATAACTGGCTAACAATCTGGCAGGGAAATGTCGGCAGCCTCCTCTAGTTATACAGCTCCTGATGGCAGAATGGTTTCAGGTGCGTAGGTCTGCAGACGCCCTCAGGTGGAACAAAGCCTCCAGCGCCCTCTGGTGGATGAAACAGCTCCAGATTCCAACAGAAATAACACTATTTATGAAATAAATACCGTATTTTCCGCACTATAAGCCACAACCCCAAAGCTTTTTTAAAAAACCAGTAAACATACACATATAGGCCGCAGATATCTCTGCCGCTCCAGGTTTTCCACAACGATGCAGCAGCAGAGGGGGGCGGACACCCAAAATTTGAGTAATAACAGGTCAATTGAATATCACATTTATTAGGGTTGAAAAAGAAAAAGTTGCCGAATTTAGATTTAACTGAACTGATTACAGTAGTTTCTGAACGGAAACTGTAACAGTAAAAGTGCTGATCCTTCATGTCTGCTACTAGCATGTGCTAAATGAAAATGGCCGCTTTCCTTCTTCTTCTTCTTCTACTACCTCTGCTTCTTCTTTAGATTTCAACGGCAGCTTGTCTCCATTATTGTTGCACTACTGCCATCTACTGGATGCTAATATCTATACCTCAAATTCTCATAATGACCCCAGTATCATTTTAAAAAAGGAAAAATCTTCTTTTTCCCCTCAATGCTATTTAACTGAACAACAACATTCTCAAATTTCAATTCCCTATTAAAACCTAATTCCGTTTTAATGGGCACTTTCTTCTTTTATTTCCAATTTTGACTTCCAGTGATTCACTTCCTGCTAAAGAGCCCCCTGGTGGTTGAAGAAAAATCCACATATAAGCCGCACTGGGCTATAAGCCGCATGGTTCAAAGCTTAGGAAAAAAGTAGCAGCTTATAGTCTGGAAGTATGAAGATGTGGTATATGAAAAAAACTCTAAATGCTCTCTGGTATTGTTCAGGGAGCCGGACCAAATGCGGAGGCAGGCCGTAGTTTGGGGACCACTGGTTTATTATATCAGCCGGAAGTATAAGTGGTAACTATGAAAACTAATGACTGTATTTTGATTTATGCTTGATTAGTTGTTTTAGAATCCAGTGGCTTGTGGGCGGGGCTTAAGTTGATTTTGTTTCCATTCCATGACATCATCTCTGCTGTTGTGTGATCTCTATGACATCATAACTGACATGAACACAATTATTAAGATTCTTTAGATTTCTAGTTCTTTTCTCAAACACCGCTTGGCGTGAACGCATCTCGTGAATCATTTCTGTGTAGTTTAACACGATTTTCTTTTTTTGAGCAAATCAATCCAGTAATTTGTCAAAGACACTTGTGTTAAAAAATAAGTACCATTATGCCATCTTATAGAGGATGTTTACCTGTGGAGCTCTATGCGCAAGATATGCTGGACTTCAGCATTTCCCAATCAGGTGAGGGCAGCCATGTCCCCTTATTTACCTTAGAGGAATTTCCTGAACTCAAGAGAGAGGAGTCCCCAAGACATAGGCAGTCGAACAGAAATGGCAACATGTCAACCAAGTCTAAAGCAAAGAAAACCAGAAAAGTTCAATTTGCTTCTGGTCAGCTGGCCAAAGCCCATGACCAGGGGGAAAGCACTCTGAGAAAGCCACTTATACCATCTCGGAGTGAAGTTTGTGCTTCACAGACGATGGTGGCCCCATTGCAGCCAGACCCGGCCTCTGATCAGAGGCCAGCGGCTCCTCCAAAGCCTGATGATGCAAAAAAACATCCAATTTTAAAACTTCTTCAAAGAGAGACAATTGTTGAAGAAAATCATGGTGATAAAAATACCAGAGCAATTATTATGATATCAGAGTTGGAGTTTCATGACGCCCTGAGCGCCAAAGAAGACATGATCTCTGCTCTGCGACAAGAAAACGTAGCTTTACTGGAAAACATGGAGCGTCTCAACAGTGAGCTTCAGAAAATGGAGGCTGTGCAGCAACAGGCCAATGAGAAAGCTAGGCAGCTAGAGTCTGACCTAGCTAATGAAAGGAAAAAGGTTCAGGAAGTTGAGAAGTTAAGCCAAATAACTAAAGAAGTTCAAGCTGCACCAGTCCACCAACATCAGGAAGACCAGGAGAAAAAGGCCTTGAGAGACGAAGTGATGAAGTTGACTGAATTATTGGAAAATCAGCAAACTGAGCATGAAGACATGATTGCTACTCTGTATGATCAGCGGATTAAGACGGACAAAGACCGTCGAGATGCCATCAGAAGGGCTGACCAGCTGAAAGCAAATCTGATGGCTGAGAAGAGCAAAACAAAAGAGACAGAGATTTGCTTAGCAAAGCAGATGGAAGAAACATCTAGACTACAATCTGCTCTGGACAAAACGGAGAGAGATTTGGATGAAGGAAGACGGCAGTGGGAGCTAGAAAAAGTACGTCTTCTGACCAACAACCGAGAAACATCCGAGGTGGAACAGCTGAAGTATCAGTTGCAGTCACAGATAATTGCTCATGAAGATGAGATTGCTGCTCTGTATAACGAGTTGGTGAAGAGGAGCAACGACCACCAGGATGCCATCAGAATGACCGAGCAGCTGAAGGAAAAACTAAATAAAGAGAAAAACAGACTGAAAGAGACTGAAGACAGCTTAGCTCGGCAAAAGGCAGAGAAATCCAACCTCCAGGCTGCTTTGGTTCAAATGGAGAGAGCCTTAGAGGACCAGCGGCGCCAATGGGAGCAGGAAAAGCCCTGTCCTGTCACCAACAAACAAAGAGATGAGGTGGAGCAGCTGAAAAAGATTCAATACCATGAAGACACTGCAAGGAATATCCTTGAACTGATTGCTGAGAATACCAGAACACAAGAGGCTGACATCTGCTTAGCCAAGTAATTTTAAGAAGTCAAAAATAAAGTTAGGGCTGCACAGTGGCACAGTTGGTAGCACTGTTGCTTTGCAGCAGAAAGGTCCTGGGCTCGAGTCCCGCCCGGGATCTTTCTGCAATGCAATCTCCCTGTGCATGGTGGGTTCTCTCCGGGTACTCCGGCTTCCTCCCACAACCCAAAAACATGAGACTCAGGCTGACTGGTCTCTAAATTATCTTTAGATATGACTGTATGCATGCATGACTGTTTGTCCTGTCTGTCTGTGTTGCTCTGTTAAGAATCATTTACATGATTAGTGACTTATAATCATATGTTAAGTATAATTTACATTATTAGTGACTTAGTTATATGCTAAGTATCATCCTATGTAAGTATTTGTTGTTAAGTATAATTTAAATGATTAGGGACTTGTTTATAGTTGTAAGTTGTTCATCATAATTGACATGATTAGTGACTTTGGCTGCATTCACACTGCAGCCTGAAGTAACCCAGTTCAGATTTGTTTTTGCCTTAATGCGACCTGCATCTGACCTTTTCAAATGTGACTCGACTCTGAACAACCAGGTCGCATTCATCCAACCTTGGTCTCTCTAAATTCTCCTTTGGTGTGAGTGTGTGCGTGCATGATTGCGTGTCCTGTCACAGCACAGCAGAATCAAAGCAAACATCAGTCAGAAAACTGATGTCTACTGAAAAACCATCTCCAAACTATCAAACAGATTGAAATGCTAACTGGACCCCAACTCCCCAACCTTAACTTTTAACCCCCACTTTCATCCTCTTTTCCCAACTCTTACCCTTAAGACACACACCAACACACACGCACGCACACACACGCTGACATGATAATCCAGCCACGAGAGGTGCACAGTCCCAAGTGCTCCTGGTGCTGGTCCCAAGCCCAGATAAATGGAGAGGGTCATGTCAAGAAGATAATCTGGATACAATATTCAATCAAATATTCATACAGGCATCAAAAAGTTTAGACAATAAAATACACAAACTAACATTAAGACACACACACACACACACACACACACACACACACACGTGTTGCATCTTTTTAATTTACAAGGACATGTGTCATCGTTGGCCTTGTACTGGCATTGACTCCCCATTTATTTCTACAACCTATCACTAAAACTAACTGTTGTGATTTAAATAGTTATATGTTAAATATACTTCAGATAATTAGTGACTTCGTTATAGATATATGTTAAGTATAATTTATGATTATAAATTATCTAATCATTTAGTTACTAGCATAACTAAATGATTAGTTATGCTAATCATTTAAGCATAACTTAAATGATTAGGGACTTATTTATAGTTGTATGTTGTTAAGTGTAATTTACATAATTAGTGCCTTATGTAGGTTCATGTTAATTATCATTTGCGAGATTAGTAAGTTATTTAGTTGCATATTTGGTATAATTTACATGATAATTTACATTTGAGTGTAAAGTCTGATTTTATTGGGGAAGCAGTGTTTTCATTTGAACCATGTTCAACGAGATCTGGATTTGTCTTTTGTCGCTATCCTGCCTTCTGTTTTCTGTTGCTGGGACACAGACACCTGTTGCCATTGTCAGCTGTCACCTTTGCTTGTTCAGTAAAAACTGAACACGAAATCTTAAGCAAAGACATCTGAGCCTCCATTATGACTGCAGAAGCGTTCACTATGCAATACTAACCTTTAATGCTACACGGCTAATCCTAAACTTAACCTAAACTTAATACACAGCTTAGTCCAGGGGTCTCAAACTCAATTTACCCAGGGGACCGCCAGAGGCAGAGTCTGGGTGAGGCTGGGCCACATAATGGATTCCACAAAACACATTTTAAAAATATCCTCAAATGTCATCAACATTTCATTATTTCTGTCTAGGTTCAAAACGTATGAAAAAAGTAGCGGCTTATAGTCTGGAAAATAGGGTATACATTTTCTTTTTCATTTCCCCTAAACATGCGTTTTTGTTAAGAAAAATAGATATTTTGCTTTGTCTTTTTTTGCTCCTCCCTTTTCTGTCCGCTGTTTTTCTGCTGCATCATTATGTTAATGAGGAGAGCTGCCTTCTATGTCTCCTATTGGCCAATAGAGCTTTGGAACCAACGTCACTGCGTCAGACGTTGTGGGGCGTTTAGGTCCAGTCACTCGGTGCCATCTTTACAGGCCACAGACCAAAACAAACTTTATCCCGGTGGTTTTGTTGTGTTACTGACTGCAGTGAAGTTAGTTTCGAGTTGGATATTGGATTTTCCAATATCTGCCGAGCAAGCGGCGTTTAGCTCAAGGTTGATCTTGAGCTAAACGGCTGGCTAATTTCGGCCAGCCATTCTCTAGCTCCCTCCTCAAGCGCTCGGAGGTTCACTTCACTGCAGTCGGTATCACAATAAAACCACCGGGATAAAGTTTGTTTTGGACTGTGGCCTGCAAAGATGGCACTGAGAGACTGCACCTAAACGCCTCACAACGTCTGACGCAGTGACGTTGGTTCCAAAGCTCTATTGGCCAATAGTAGAGGAGCTGGGCATAGAAGGCAGCTCTCCTCATTAACATAACGATGTAGCAGAAAACAGCAAACGAAAAATACAGCAAGAAGAAAAGGGAGAAACAAAAGACAAAGCAAAATATCTATTTTTCTTGACAAAAACGCATGTTTAGGGGAAATAAAAAAGAAA